ATCCTTGCGGAACCCCGCTAGTTACACTTTCACATTCTGACGTCTCTTTCCTAACAGTTACTTTCAATTGTCATCCAATCTTGTCAAAATATGTATTGTATCTTGCTAAAATAAAAGTGGCTTGTCAATGTTTTCTTTCTCTAAGGTACTCTTTGACCCGCCGCAGTACGTTTCCTTTCATTCCTACCTTCACCTCAAATTTTGACTCCAGCCTCTTGTGGGAACAGTATCGAATGCCTTCTTGCAGTCTAAGAAAATGCAAACCACTCATCCCTTTGTCTTACATCTATTACCTTGTCATAGATCTCCAGAAGCTTGGTAAGGCAAGATTTGTCATCTCTGAACCTGTGTTAGTTATTGTTTATGAACCCACTTCTCTCCAAGTGCTCTCATTCTCCTGATAATTATCTCCTCCATTATAATTATCTCCATTCCTCCATGGATAGGAGTGAATGGAGACAAATGGTTTTTAATACTTGACGTGCTGTTGGAATGTGAGCAAAGTAACATTTATGAAGGGATTCAGGGAAACCGGACTTGAGTCCTGGAGATGGGAAGTACAGTGCCTGCACTCTGAAGGAGGGGTGTTAATGTTGCAGTTTAAAAACTGTAGTGTAAAACACCCTTCTGGCAAGACAGTGATGGAGTGAATGATGGTGAAAGTTTTTCTTTTTCGGGCCACCCTGCCTTGGTGGGAATCGGCCAGTGTGCTAATAAAAAAATAATAATAAATAATTACCTTGCATGGTATGCATATGAAAATCACAGTCTGTAGCTCTATGCTTCCTGTCTGAGTTCTTTCTTAAATATAGGGACTACATTCGCTGTTTGCCAGATCTCTGGCAACTATCCCGAGTCCATTGACTTGTTGCACATCCCATCTAGTGGTTCAGTGTTTCTGTTCTCTCTCATAACATCCATGGTGACACCCTGTCAGGTTCCATTGTCTTTGATGTATCTAACTCCAACAGGTTTCTTTACCTCCTTCCCTGTTTTTTTATGTGTTTGAGAGTTTATTTAGTAAACCTGGATACATCAGCAGTGTGCTACTACTATATTCTATATGGTAGTTTACATAGTGGGAACAAAAGCTAACTTTTTCCCTTGTCATATTCCGTCACACAGGATGGGAAGGGGAGTCTGTGTTGTCATGCACCTGACGTCAGGATAACTCCGCCATCTTACACTGCTTGGCAACCCTGGTTATCAGAATCAATATTGTCTCAGTCATGGTGTACACACCTGCCTTACGTGTACACGTGTACATAGCTGTCCCTCATGCAGACATGTCCCTTGCGTATGCACATATGGACACGACTGTCACTCACCTGTTCGCAGATTATGTGAAATTAATGAGAATAAAACGCAGAGAGGACAGGGAGAGTCTAGAATATCACCTGGACTAACTGCGGGGTTGCTCACACAAGTGGCTACCGAAAATCAGTTGCAGCAAATGCAAGATTAGGAATACTGGTGGCGAGGTAAGAAGACCAGAAACTAAGTAAGGACTTGGGGGACAGTGAATACAAACCTTACTCAAGGAGTAGGCCCTTGGGATAAGCACAGTACAGAGTATATCACCAGAGGTGGCCATCAATCAAATTGCTACCGTAGGGAATGCATGTTTCGATAATCTAAGATTAGATTTAAGGAATCTCAACACGAGTCATTCGTGATCCTTAGTCCATGTCACGCCCATCATGGAGTATGAAGCATCAGCATGGAACACATCTGATAAATCATGTCAAAACACTGGAGTAAATGTAAAAGTTAGGAAAGAAGCTATAGTATCAGAGCTGAGGAGAGATTAAAAGAGCTGAACCTGACGATATTAGAGGACAGAAGAACCAAGAAAGAAATGATAACATTCAAAGATGACCCACGGGGAGGTTGGTTAGGAAGTGAAATAGCCTGGATAATGAATTGGTAGAGGCAGACACATACACAGCTTTAAGAATGGGTATAAGAGACCCCGAGGTTACTAGACAGTGAACTCTATAACGGTCAGTTAAGAGACAGTTACAGGAGATGAGATGAGACTTATGAAAAGGAAAAAAAATAGTGAATCAATAGAAGGTAACAAAGATTTTGTCTCCGGCAGTATGGAGGACAGGGGCAGGGGGGTGGCATACAGTATTCCTGTCCCACACACTCACCCACCTTCACCTGCTGTTTCCCCTTTTCTCTATCCTCTCTTGCTCTTCACAGTTCGCTTAACTGATCCAAATCATAAATTTGTTTGTAACTGTTTTAGTCGCGTTTTTCTCTGTTTTTAAATGGCATATTGAGAATGCTCAGAGATTCTTCACAGCTTGTATAAACTCAGTTAATCACCTAAATTATTAGAACTTAAAGTTCCGCGAACTGTACTCCATGGAACGTAGGCGAGAAAGACATCATAATCTACACCTGGAACATTCTGGAGGGATTGGTACCAAACCTGCACAATGAAACCACTCTACGAAATAAAGAGGCTTGGCAGACGCTGTGAAATAATCCCAATGAAAAGCAAGGACACAATGAAAAAGAACTTAATAGTAAAGGAACCAAGACTCAACATCCCTCCCTTCACACATAGGGAAATTGTCGACAATCTCCTGATTCCTCAAGTCAGTTCCTGATCAAATGGGCTGTGGTGGATACGATGAGCTGCTGCGGCGGGTATCAACAGCTTCGTCGATTAAATCAGCAACCACAAGGCCTGGTCTGGGACCTGACCACTGGAGTGGTGACCCTTGGAAGCGACTACAAGTAATCTCCAGGTTAGGGGAAGGTCTAAACAGTAGATCTTCAGCCTGGATACTTGAGTTAGAGTGATGGTGTCATAAACCAATCTGATAATACTACTTAAAAACCATACCACGGTGGGGATAGAACCCGTCATCAGTCATACATGCAACGTGTTAGCCCTTCCCGCTAGCGGGAAGGGCTACTGCAGTGCTGTTCTCATACATGTGTTCACTGTCTCGCCTATTTATTGTTTCTGGCTGGTGCTAGTGTGTGCAGCGGAGACAACGTTCAGTAACTGATATATACCACATTGCTACACTATCCACTACAAGGTATACACAACGAGCAGAGCTCATCTTAATCAACGTCTAAGTATATACACACTGGGATTTCACTTTAATCTATATTTTAGATGTTAAGCACTTTTTTGTTAGTGTACAAGTGAATTGCAGCCTTAATGACCTAAGTGCATTCAACAGATCTTAAATCTTGATAAATTAACTATCCACCCTTTTATGCTCACCCTTGATACTGCATAGGAGCTTTCACCTCGATTTCCTTGCATCGAACCTCATTGCTTTCCCTTCCCAAGGTTCCATAACCCCTACGGATTTACAGCTTTCCCTAAATGCTATAATACTCCACTAGTCAACGTAGTCAGTTCCTTTCAGTAAGACAGCCTCCCTGGATCTAGGTGCTAAATTAGTTTTACAGATCTCGAGTCTTGGAAAAAAAAACCAGATTACATTTCTGGCGAGAAATATAGTTTACATCCAGTAGTTACTTTTTAATCATTTGGAAATTAGCTTCACCTTCAATATTATTATAATCATAAAGAAGCGCTAAACCTACAAGGGTCAGCTTCACCTTCAAATACCTGAATGGATAGCATTTATTGCCTTGCCACAGTTATTTTTATGTAGAATAGCGGTACACTACCGATGTAACCAATCAATAAATAGTTAATTATTAATTTTAACATAACTAACCTAGCAGCCTAACCAAAACTTGTTACGAAAATACCGTGATGTAAAATATTATTTATCTAACGCCTCTCCATAACTTTTATATTATTATTGTATTCACTGAGAGCCTGTAAACTATTAGGAGGTATAAATGCATGGGAACGAGTAGTATCAGGTATACCAGAAATATAACTGACTCACGAAATCGTAATGACGATTGCAAATAAACTAATCATATCAAAGCTAAATCGAAAGATTATGAGCATCAAGGTCCTTCCTCGACGAGAAGGGAATTATATCACCTTCTCAATTCAAAATATTGATGAATATGATGACATGATATATCAAGTTGTGGTTCACGTGAAGAAATATATGCAAGATGATTTATTATGATTGACTAAACGTTGAAACTTAAAACTGAATCCAGTTTTCCCACGCATGGTTTTCAGAATGTGTTGTAGATCATAGTGAGTGATCACATTTCTTAACAATGCAGACTGAAGAAATAAACTACGTGATTATTCTTCTGCTTGTATAGTGTAAGTGTGCGTGCGTGCGTGCGTGAGAGAGATACCCTAGAACAGTGGTTCCCAAACTTTTTCGGGCAGCCGCCCGCCTTGGCCATGTTCTTAACCCCCCCCCCCCCCACACACACACACACCTTTTTCTTGGTATTGGGTTTACTCTAAATTCAAAACAACTAATCTTACCCTATAAACAAACAGATTTCGAAAATAAAAATTAACATAGTAAACCATGTTTTTTAACAATACGAAATGATAAATTTACATCTCATCTGTAACTACATCGTTTTCACAATTTTAATGAAATGGATGTGCTTGATGCAGTCATCATCTCAACATCAGTCTTGAACACACTAAGAAGTCTTAGATCCCCGCGTTCAGTAATTTTTAGTCTGTTTCTTTGCTTGGAAAGCAGCTGCCCCTTAACTCCGACTTGGAACCACAAAATAAACTAAGCTTTCGTGTATAACTCTATGTTAATTTTATTCTTTGTAAAACATTTGTTACTTAAGTGTACGTGACTTAGATTTTGTAAAACAAACTCTTCCTGGGTTTGATGCCACCTTGCCGCTCCCCTACACCCCATTTTTCCCTCAACGCCTCCCTGGATCTTTCCACTGCCCCTCGGGGGTGGTACCGCCCACTTTGGGAATCACTGTGACTAAAGCTATTACATTTGAACCTTCAAATCGTATACATTAAGTTTTACAAGATACAGAATTCAGCATTAAATATATGGGTAAAACCAGCAGCAAGGAGTAAGCATTTTTCTCTCCCGCAGTGTGGACCGGGACCAGCCCTTCACCTTCCAGCTGGGTGTAGGTCAGGTCATTAAGGGCTGGGACCAAGGTCTGGAGGACATGTGTGCAGGGGACAAGCGTCGCCTCACCATCCCTCCAGAGCTGGGTTATGGCTCCCGTGGTGCCGGCGATGTCATCCCGCCAGGTACGTCACTTTATAAGTATTATTGCAGATAAATGGTTCAGAGAACCGACAGGGTAATGAATTAGACACTTGAAAACTCTTGGGTATCTTTGTGGAAACGTCTCTCCAACCAGTGGCTTCCTCAGTCCAATACATCGACTCAAGGCTCAGGGACTGATTACGTCAAACTTCTGATCTTCGACCGTTCTTCCCATTCTTCTCTGTATTGGACTGAAGAAGCCATTGATTGGCGGAATGGTTCCACAATAAAGTGTTGCACAAGTGTCTAATTTATCATAATTATTATTTCGAGGTATTCACAGTAGGTGATACCAATTATGAACTAGTGAAAAAGAGTCAGAAAGTCCTCCAAGTACATTCGTATATATAGACATTTTCAGAAAGAAGTTTCTGAAGACATTCATTTGGACGAAATTACTTGGAGCTTTTGGCTATTTTTCAGTGGGTATCCTGCATTGTTTTTATTCGTGGGCAAGTGATAAACCGTTAGGGTATGGCACACATTCCGGTTTGATCTGAAAGATAACGCAGGTCTAATTTTTCGGGTCAGTAGCTCTTTACTGGGATCAAGGTGTGCCACTTGAAGCGTGCAACTGGTGATCCATACATGTCTTGTTCATGTGAGATCTCGTCTGCCTACTTCTATTAATGGACAAACATGAAAGTTTCTAATAGAATTTCATGATTCACTATACCTTTTATTTTTATGCACAGTACTATTTGCTTTCTCTCTTGTTAAAGTTTAACTTCGTAGAAAAATCGGGAGAAAATCTGGATCCAGAAGAGTGAAAGTTGTCATGACTGAGAGAAAACTTTCACAGACAAAAAGTGGAGCAGGTGGTGGTAGCGGGAGTTAAAATTAACTTTCATTTTAACTCCTGAGTAGACAGACGGTAATATACAATGAGAAGTATGCATTTTTAGTGTACGTATGTACGTAAGTACAGTATCTATGTAAGTATATATGTTGCAGTTTAAAAACTGTAGTGTAAAGCACCCTTCTGGCAAGACAGTGATGGAGTGAATGATGGTGAAAGTTTTTCTTTTTCGGGCCACTCTGCCTTGGTGGGAATCGGCCAGTTTGATAATAAAAAAAAAATGTATATATAATAATATATATAATAATATAATTATATATAATATATATATATATATATATATATATATATATATATATATATATATATATATATATATATATATATATATATATATATATATATATATACATATATACTTACATAGATACTGTACTTACATGCATACGTATGTAAGTTTACTTTCATTCGTTTAGAGGTAAAAGAATTCCTGACAGGGAGTACAGGTGACATGCAGCCTTAATGACCCTTGTGTAGCAGATATGCCTCAAACCTAATAAACCAACGAATCCTGAGTGAACAAGCAATCAGTTAATGACTTTTTATGTGAGTGATCGTCAGCGTGTATATGCCTATGATATCCCTGTGACAAGTGTTGAGGTTTCTACCTTGTCGTCCGGCCTCAGGCCTAACCTCTTTGTATATATTGTAATATTCGTCAGGACAGAGCCCTGACACGGGACTAAATCTTCCGACAATCCGTTGGTACAAATTATTCATCTTAGTAGCTCGCTTGGTTATTTATGCGTGCGCGCCTGTCTGTGCACTCCCCTATATGTGGTTGCAGGGGTCGATTCATTGCCCCTGGCTCCGCCTCTTCACTGATCGCTACTGGGTTCTCTCCCTGCTCCATGAGCTTTATTAAACCTCGTCTTAAAACTATGTATGGTTCCTACCTCCACTACGTCACTTACCAGACTATTCCACTTCCTGACAACTATGACTGAAGAAATACTTCCTAACATCCCTTTGACTCATCTGAGTTTTCAACTTCCAGTTGTGACCCCTTGGTGCTGTGTCCTATCTCTGAAACATTCTGTCCCTATCCACCTTGTCAGTTAATCTCAGTATTTTATGTTATCATGTCCCCCCTATCCCTCCTGCCCTCCACTGTCGTCAGGTTGATTCCCTTAATCTCTCCTCGTAGGAGATGTCCCTTAGCTATGGGACTAGTCTTGTTGCAAACCTTTGCATTATCTCCAATTTCTTAACGTGCTTGACCAGGTGTGGGTTCCAAACTGGTGCTGCATACTCCAATATAGGCCTGACTTACACAGTGTACAGCGTTTTGAATGACTCCCAACTCAGATGTCGAAATGGTATTCTAAGGTTTGCCAGGCGCCTATATGCTGCAGCAGTTTTTTAGATGATATGCACCTCAGGAGATGTGCTCGGTCTGATACCCTAAGATCATTTTCCTTTAGTGAGGTTTGCAGCCTTTGCCCCACTAGCGCATACACCGTCTGCGGTCTTCTTTGGCCTTTCCCAATCTTAATGACTTTGCACCTGGTGGGGTTTAAACTCCAGGAGCCAATTGGTGGATCATGCTTGCAGCCTGTCCAGATCCCTCTGTAGTCCTACCTGATCCTCGTCTGCTTGAATTCTCCGCATTAGCTTCACATCGTCTGCAAACAGGGACACCTCTGTATCTGTCCTTTCCATTATGCCATTCACATATACCAGAAACAGCACTGGCCCTAGGACCGACCCTTGTGAAAACCTGCGCATCACATTCGCCCACTCTGACACCTCATCCAGTACCATCACTTGTTGTTTCCTTCCTGTCAGATATTCCCTGATCCATTGCAGTGCATTTCCTATTATTCCTGCTTGCTTCTGTAGCTTTTGCACTAATCTCTTGTGCTTAACTGCAGAAAGCCTTCTTACAGCCCAAGAAAATGCAGTCTACCCACCCATCTCTCTACTGTCTTATTTCTGTTACTTTGTCGTGAAACTCCAATAGGTTTGTGACAGGATTTCCCCCTCCCTGAAACCGTACTGGTTATCATGTATAAGTTCATTTCTAAGTGCTCCACCACACTTCTGATAATCTTCACCATGACTCTGCAAACTATACATGTTAGTGACACTGGTCTGTAGTTTAATGCTGCCCTGTTACAATAGATGTGTTGAAGACTGTTAGTGGCACACAGTGCCACTGCTCCCTCTCCCTTGGAGAGATGTCCGGTCTCACCGTCTTTGAGGTACTTAGTTCGCTTATTAGTCTCTTCACTTCTTCCTCAGTCATGTGTAATGTGTCCAGCACTTGTTGGTGTACCCTGCCATCCCAGTTTGCTGCAAGACTTTGTCTCTACTGAAAGTGCCTCCCTAAATCTCTTGTTGAGCTCCTCACATACTTCTTGATCATTTCTTTTGATCTCCCCTCCTTCCTTCCTCATCCTGTTTACCTGGTTCTTGACTATTGTTTTCCTCCTGATGTAGCTGTACAGCAGCTTCAGGTCAGATCTGGCTTTTGATGTTATGTCATTCTGTCTATGCATATTCATTTCTGGCTCATCGGTTTATCTCCTTATTTTCCTGAGTCCTTTGTTTTCCATACCTTTTCCATGCTCTAATGCACCTAGCTCTACACCTTCGGGTGAACCAAGGGCTTGTTCTGGTCTTCCATTGTTTCTGTTGCCCTTGGCCCTTGGGGTATGAACTTCTCCGGTGGCCTGGTGGCTAAAGCTCCCGCTTCACACACGGAGGGCCCGGGTTCGATTCCCAGAGGGTGGAAATATTTTGACATGTTTCCTTACACCTGTTGTCCTGTTCACCTAGCAGCAAATAGGTACCTGGGTGTTAGTCGACTGGTGTGGGTCACATCCTGGGGGACAAGATTAAGGACCCCAGTGGAAATAAGTTAGACAGTCCTCGATGATGCACTGACTTTCTTGGGTTATCCTGGGTGGCTAATCCTCTGGGGTTAAAAATCCGAACGAAATCTTATCTCCTCTGCCTCTCTGCACTTTGTGGTCATGTGATCCATCATCTCATTTACTGTCTTTCCCTCCAGCTCTCTTGCCCTTGCACCTTGCACAGGAATTGCCTTATGCCTGTGTAGTCCCCTCTTTTGTAGTTTGACTTCTCCCATCCTCGTGTTGCTTCACTTTCCACTGCTAGCTCTACAATGTAGTCGAGGCTCAGGACCACATGATTGCTAACTCTGAGGGGCCTTTCTTAAGTGATATCCCTAATGTCTAAACTACTCAAGCTGAATATGAGGTCCAGTCTTGCTGGTTCATCTCTGCCTCTCTCTCTCTCTCTGGTAATGTCCCTAACATGTTGGTGCATTAGATTTTTCAGTACCACCTCAATCGTCTTAGCCCTCCACATTTCTGGTTTTACCTGGAGTTTACCTGGAGAGAGTTCCGGGGGTCAACGTCCCCCATGTAGCTTCAGGTTTTCCCAGTCACTCTCTTTACCTGGAGTATACTTGGAGAGAGTTTTGGGGATCAATGCCCCTGCAGCCTGGTCTGTGACCAAGCCTCTTGGTAGATCAGGGGCCTGAGCAACCAAGCTGTTACTGCTGGCCACATGCAAACCAACATACAAACCACAGCCCCACTGATCAGGTGCAGACTTTAGGTGCCTGTCCAGCACCTTCTTGAAGACAGCCAGGGGCCTATTGCCAATCCCCCTTATGTATGCTGGGAGGCAGTTGAACAGTCTTGGGCCCCTGACACATATTGTATTGTTTCTTAGTATACTCATGGTGCCCCTGCTTTTCTTCGAGGGAATGTTGCACCACCTGCCGAGTCTTTCCCTTTTTTAAGGAGCATTTTCTGTGTGCAGATTTGGACTAGTCCCTCTAGCATTTTCCTAGTACATATATTATCATGTATTTTTTTGCCTGCATTTCAAGGAGTACAGATCAAGGGACTACAACCATTCCCAATAATTTAGGTTCTTTATTGTATTTATATGTGCAGTGAAAGTTCTATGTATATTCTCAAGGTCTGCACTTTCACCTGCCTTGAAAGGGGCCATTAGTGTACAGATATATTTCAGCCTAGAGATGAAACGTTTTCCCAATAAAATGCCATAAACTGCATATTATGTATTATTAACAGTGGAATTCTTATTGCACCTATCCTTATTTTTCTGTAATTGCTGTCGTGAACCATTATGAGCTCAGCATGTTTTGGTATCAATATGATTGGTATGCATTTAGTGAACTCATTTTTTCCCCAATCGGTAGTGAACTTTTTGTCATACTGCATTACTGTTCGGTCAAAATACAGTATTTTATTTCTTGTATTTATGGATTTTAATGTTTTATTTTTAACATTATCATTTTGTATACCATGTAATTACTGGAAAATGAAAATAGCTTTCTTGATGTACAGTACTCAGAATTTTCTTGGCCTATTGTTTCTAGATGCCACACTGGTGTTTGACGTTGAACTGATCTCCATTGGTGATGCTCCACCTGTGGTCAATGTCTTCAAACAGATTGATGGAGATGCAGATGAACATCTCTCCAAGGAAGAGGTGAGAATTGCTGGTTTTGGGTGACATGTATAGAACCCCAGTGGAAATAAGTCACTCTTGTCTGACTTTTTTGGGTTATCCTAGGTTCTCAACATGTATGCTGCTATGTAACTGTATTTGTGTATACCTGAATAAACATACTTACATTCTTATTTTTGCACTTTTTATTTTTGTTTTAGCTTAAAATAATGAAAATAAACAGTATCATATACGTAATGTACTACAGTACTGTATATGGTTAATGTACACACACTATAACTGCTTCAATTTAAGATGTTCCAACTTATTGTGTTCTACACTTATGATATTTTCACTTGGAAATCAATTAATGACTCATGAACGCTGATATGCAGTCATTGCAAATATTCAAGAAAATTTTTTCAGTAACTAGTTTTTCTCAGCTAATTTTTCAGCAAATGACAACATATTTTGTGCATGTTCGTTTTATGCATGTGTGAAATAGAATGCATTACATTTATACAGCTGTGCATAGATCCCTACTGTAAAGCTAGAGTCAGTTATGTGCAGTCTTATAGCCCTGCTAATTTTCAAAACTGAATAACATAAGAAAGAAGGAAGACTGCAGCAAGCAGTACGCTAACACTTAGGAAGTCAAAAACATAGCAACCATTTATTAAAAATGGCATTTTGCTCATTAAGATCTTAAGCAATTTGTTTAAGTTCTCACTGAGAGAAACATCGCTTTTAATAAAGGCTTACTCTGTTTGCGGTTTTTAAAATTAACTTGTAGGATGAATTCACAGCAGTGCAGTATTGTACTATCATGAAATATCTATTTATAATGCTTGCTTAATTTCTATCCCTTTATCTTTAATTAATTTACATTATACAGTATTTCACTATACGTATGTGCTTCTGATAATAATCTACATTTTTCAGACAATACCAATTAATCACACCAGCTGTCACGACAATCAACTATTGTTCACATTGCTTTTAGTATTCACAGTAGCAATTCATTATAAAATAATGATGCCTTAGAGTTTAGCTGCTGATGAGGGTAATACCTGTACCATCAATTTTAACAATACTGTAGTGTACTAGCTCAGAATTTTGTTAATCTATACATCAGGTGTACATAAATATGGATTTTTTTTTTTTAGCATGGTTTAAAGTTCCATCTATGGTAAGTTCAGGAATAACCCAAGACATTGTGACAATTACAATAAAACTGCTACATCCGTCTCTATAGAAAGAACCTCCCGTAACCGAATTACACCATTTTTGGAAATAATGGTTCAAAGCTTCAGCCGTCATAAGGGTAGATATGCAGCACTTGTTTTCATTTAGCATCATTTATAATTAATAACATTTTGCTAAATATTTTTTTATATTTCAAGAAGAAATACGTTTTATAACAGTTTTCTGCAACTTTACACATTTATAATACGTATAATTCTTAGTACAAATGCACTGTGCTGGACACCAACCATTGCTGGCAACAGTACAAACAGTGTTTAATACAGTATAACCACCTTCACCTAACATCCTCACTGTCATTTACAATGCTAATGATACTATGATAAGGATTTCAGGAAGCAGTAGATGGAAGACAATAAGTATTGAGCAGAAAACAACACTTATTAAACCTAAAAGAATAAGTAAGAAGATTATCTTGAGCAAGAACTGTTGGATTATATCATATAATATTTTATTAAATGACTTTTCATTGAACAAATAAGCTTAAAGATTAATACATGAACATTAACTTAGAAAATTCTTTCATTCATTATTTGAACAGAGTTCAGTAATTGTATGGATTTATAATTACTATACCAGCATAATAAATTTTCACTATTTTTCTTATAGTATTTACACTTATGCACCCACAAAATTTTTTAAACAAACACTTGTAAACCTATCATATCCTCATCTAACTTCCTTTTTCACATTAACATTTCCTAGCTTTGTTATCCTACAATATTTTGTAGCTATTGGTCTTAGATCACTTTGACCACACTAGCAGCGTACTGTATCATACTGCGACACATTCTTTTTTTTCTCCATTTGCAAAATCCAACGAAAAGTGCCAAATTTTTTATGCTTTGCTGGTATACAATATACTCGGGTAAAAATTACCATGGCAGATGTACAGAGAACAGTTTTATATAATATCAACCACTGTTTAAACAATTACAGATAATTCAAGATTTTTTTTTTTTTTTTTTTTTTTTTCAACAAGTCGGCCGTCTCCCACCGAGGCAGGGTGACCCAAAAAAGAAAGAAAATCCCCAAAAAGAAAATACTTTCATCATCATTCAACACTTTCACCACACTCGCACATTATCACTGTTTTTGCAGAGGTGCTCAGAATACAACAGTCTAGAAGCATACACATATAAAGATACACAACATATCCCTCCAAACTGCCAATATCCCAAACCCCTCCTTTAAAGTGCAGGCATTGTACTTCCCATTTCCAGGACTCAAGTCCGACTATATAAAAATAACCGTTTCCCTGAATCCCTTCACTAAATATTACCCTGCTCACACTCCAACAGATCGTCAGGTCCCAAGTACCATTCGTCTCCATTCACTCCTATCTAACACGCTCACGCACGCTTGCTGGAAATCCAAGCCCCTTACCCACAAAACCTCCTTTACCCCCTCTCTCCAACCCTTTCGAGGACGACCCCTACCCCGCCTTCCTTCCCCTATAGATTTATATGCTTTCCATGTCATTCTACTGTGATCCATTCTCTCTAAATGACCAAACCACCTCAACAACCCTCTTCTGCCCTCTGACTAATACTTTTATTAACTCCACACCTTCTCCTAATTTCCACACTCCGAATTTTTTGCATAATATTTACACCACACATTGCCCTTAGACAGGACATCTCCGCTGCCTCCAACCGTCTCCTTGCTGCTGCATTTACCACCCAAGCTTCACACCCATATAAGAGTGTTGGTACTACTATACTTTCATACATTCCCTTCTTTGCCTCCATAGATAACGTTTTTTGACTCCACATATACCTCAACGCACCACTCACCTTTTTTTCCCTCATCAATTCTATGATTAACCTCATCCTTCATAAATCCATCCGCCGACACGTCAACTCCCAAGTATCTGAAAACATTCACTTCTTCCATACTCCTCCTCCCCAATTTGATATCCAATTTTTCTTTATCTAAATCATTTGACACCCTCATCACCTTACTCTTTTCTATGTTCACTTTCAACTTTCTACCTTTACACACATTCCCAAACTCATCCACTAACCTTTGCAATTTTTCTTTAGAATCTCCCATAAGCACAGTATCATCAGCAAAAAGTAACTGTGTCAATTCCCATTTTGAATTTGATTCCCCATAATTTAATCCCACCCCTCTCCCAAACACCCTAGCATTTACTTCCTTTACAACCCCATCTATAAATATATTAAACAACCATGGTGACATTACACATCCCTGTCTAAGACCTACTTTTACCGGGAAGTAGTCTCCCTCTCTTCTACACACCCTAACCTGAGCCTCACTATCCTCATAAAAACTCTTTACAGCATTTAATAACTTACCACCTATTCCATATACTTGCAACATCTGCCACATTGCTCCTCTATCCACTCTATCATATGCCTTTTCTAAATCCATAAATGCAATAAAAACCTCCCTATCTTTATCTAAATACTGTTCACATATATGCTTCAATGTAAACACCTGATCTACACATCCCCTACCCACTCTAAAACCTCCTTGCTCATCCGCAATCCTACATTCTGTCTTACCTCTAATTCTTTCAATTATAACCCTACCGTACACTTTTCCTGGTATACTCAGTAAGCTTATTCCTCTGTAATTTTTACAGTCTCTTTTGTCCCCTTTCCCTTTATATAAAGGGACTATACATGCTCTCTGCCAATCCCTAGGTACCTTCCCCTCTTTCATACATTTATTAAACAAAAGTACCAACCACTCCAACACTATATCCCCCCCTGCTTTTAACATTTCTGTCATGATCCCATCAGTTCCAGCTGCTTTACCCCCTTTCATTTTACGTAATGCCTCACGTACCTCCCCCACACTTACATTCTGCTCTTCTTCACTCCTAAAAGATGGTATACCTCCCTGACCAGTGCATGAAATTACTGCCTCTGTTTCTTCCTTAACATTTAAAAGTTCCTCAAAATATTCTCGCCATCTACCCAATACCTCCATCTCCCCATCTACTAACTCCCCTACTCTGTTTTTAACTGACAAATCCATATTTTCCCTAGGCTTTCTTAACTTGTTTAACTCGCTCCAAAATTTTTTCTTATTTTCATTAAAATTTCTTGACAGTGCCTCTCCCACTCTATCATCTGCTCTCCTTTTGCACTCTCTCACCACTCTCTTTACCTTTCTTTTACTCTCCATATACTCTGCTCTTCTTATAACACTTCTGCTTTGTAAAAACCTCTCATAAGCTACCTTTTTCTCTTTTATCACACCCTTTTTCTTCATCATTCCACCAATCACTCCTCTTTCCTCCTGCCCCCACCCTCCTATAACCACAAACTTCTGCCCCACATTCTAATACTGCATTTTTAAAACTATTCCAACCCTCTTCAACCCCCCCACTACTCATCTTTGCACTAGCCCACCTTTCTGCCAATAGTCGCTTATATCTCACCCGAACTTCCTCCTCCCTTAGTTTATACACTTTCACCTCCCTCTTACTTGTTGTTGCCACCTTCCTCTTTTCCCATCTACCTCTTACTCTAACTGTAGCTACAACTAAATAATGATCCGATATATCAGTTGCCCCTCTATAAACATGTACATCCTGGAGCCTACCCATCAACCTTTTATCCACCAATACATAATCTAATAAACTACTTTCATTACGTGCTACATCATACCTTGTATATTTATTTATCCTCTTTTTCATAAAATATGTATTACTTATTACCAAATTTCTTTCTACACATAGCTCAATTAAAGGCTCCCCATTTACATTTACCCCTGGCACCCCAAATTTACCTACTACTCCCTCC